TCAAATTCCAATATATATTTTTGAGATGGGGTGACCAGATCTGCATGCAGTATTCAAAATGTACCATAGATTTATATGGTGGCATTATGATATTTTCTGCCCTATCTATCTATCTATCTATCTATCTATCTATCTATCTATCTATCTATCTATCTATCTATCTATCTATCTATCACTTTCTTAATGATTCCCAACATTCTGTTTGCTTTTTTGACTGCCACTGCACATTGAGTGGATGTTTTCAGAGAAATATCCACAATGACTCCAAGATCTCCTTCTTGAGTGGTAACAGCTAATTTAGACCCCATCATTTTATATGCGGCACAGTTGGGATTATATTTTCCAATGCACATTACTTTCCATTTATCATTATTGAATTTCATTTGCCATTTTGTTGCCCAGTCAACCATGATCATCAGTGTGGATCTAAAATTCCCTGTCCCCACGTGTTCAGAGACTTAAATAAAGATTCTGAGTAATTAAAAAAAATTAAGGTCTGATGATTTGTAGTGTCTCTATATACAAGTCCTAACTTCACATTCCTTATGAGGGTGTATTTGCAGCCCTATTTCTGACTATTTTTCTAAAGGGTTCTGACTCAAGGGTGTATGTATAGCCCAAGAATTGGATCTATTCTCACACTCTACCCAAAGAACTACAGTTACCTGCAGGTAATCTTTCTTTTGTATGTGTTTTCTGGGATGAGATTCTATCAGAGAAGGCCCCAGACTCACCTCTGTCCGTACCAGGTGGGCAAGCAAAGTAATCTTTTATATTTGACAATTATGCCAACTCAACTAAATTGTTTCTTTTTTCATATAATTTATACATGCAATATATTTTAGAATTCCTGTTCAAATAAAACCCCTCATAGCAAGTACCAGCCTTTTTTCAGTACCTGCAAATTGTGTGTTTCACATGGTTCATTCTGTATTAACATATACAGGTTTGCTTCATTTAGTATTAAATCTCTTTCGGGACCCAATTAATTTAAAGGTCATGTAAGAAAAGCTGCTTAGATATTGCTACTTTGCACATAGATTACCAATGAGCTTGTGTTTCCTAAGACTATTTTTAATGTAGCTGGTTATTTGTCCCGTCTCTAAAGCACTTCTTTTTACACTCAAATCTTTAAAATAGTTGTCTTATTCTCTATGCTCAGAACTCGGACTTTTTTATATTTTAATTGTTTTCCCTAGTGCTTGCTGACCATCACTGCCACACCAGTGCAATGGCATAGTTGCTTCACATTCCTTAACATGCTAGTGGGTGATGTAGAAGGCACATGAGCCCATGCTGGATGTGTGCTGTATTGAGTACATGGTGGCTTAATGGATAGAGCACAGGCCTATGACTTGGGAAGCCATGTAAAAGTTCTATTCTCAGCTCTTAAAATGGCCTGCTGGGTCACTTCACCTCAATGACCCTCAGTTTCCCATCTGTAAAATGGGGATAATTACACTGACCTCTTTTGTAAAGTGCTTTGTGATCTACTCATAAAAAGTGCTTGTAGAGGGGTTTGGCTGGGACTTGTCCCTCTCCGGGGCCGGGGGGACCACACTGCCTTAATACTTCCTTCCAATTGTTGATGGGGAATTAGCCTGTCCGTGGGAGTCTCTCGCCACGGCATCAGGAGAGGCAAACACAGACAGTTATTCACGCCCGGCCCGTGGTTGGTGGGCAATAGTGAGTCCAGGACTCAGGCCCTCAGGCAGGGGCTGAGCAAACAGTTATAATTAGCAGGCCCAGGCCTTGGGTCAGTGCAGGGCAGCAGAGAGTCAATGGCTCAGGCCCTCAGGCAGGGGCTGAGCAAACACAGGTAAACCAGCCCAGGCTCTCGGCTCGGAGGGGCCTGGGAGAGGGGAGACTGCCACCCACAAGTTGGGTGACGGGGAGGACGCGACAGGAGGCCTGCTGCTGAGTCAGTGGGGGTCTTGGCCGCAACACATGACATAGGCTCTGGCAGTGCTGCAGCCAGACTAGGGTTGGCTGCCCCCAGGCTACTTCCTAATTCCCCCTCTAGAGGTACCTGGGTCCGGACGGCGTCCTCCGGGGGTTCAAGCACCATGGGCTCCTCAGGTGAAGGGTAGGCTTGACAGCTCCTTTGGGTAACTGGCGAGGGGCAGGCTTGACATCTCCTCCAGGCTCTGGTCAGCATCAGGCATCGGTTGGTCTGGCCAGTCTTTGGGTCTGTCTCCAGTTGCCAGGGTCTCACAACCGGCAGCTAGGCCACAGGCATCTGGCCTCTCCGGTGGCTGCTCCTCCAGTGAGCTCTGGGGTTGGGCTTTTATACTTTCTGTCCTGCGCCGTGACCTCTGGGGGTCGGGCGCAGGACTCACTGGCTCCGCCCGCTTTGGTGTCCTGAGGGGCTTGTCCCTCTCCAGGGCGGTGCGGGACCACACTGCCTCGCTACAGTGCTATATAAGAAGATATTATGATTAATAATAATGTATAATTTGTCCCTATTATAAGTATTCCATTAAAATATATTTGAATCCCTAAAAATGGGTTCAGCCTAATAAGAATATTCATAAGCAGTGACAACTATATAGTCAGATATACATAAATACTCAATCATCTCAAAGTCCTGGATTTCTTGCCTGAGTCGTCCTTTCAATAGGTAAATAATTACAAATATGTTTTACAGCAGCCACTGATTATCTGAACCAGAAAAAGGGGAGTTGCAGTTGGATTTTAACAAAGAAAAACATCTAAACTAAATAACTAGCTGGAGAAAGTATATTAATAATGGGGGTGAGGAAACCATTTTACAAAGGATAAATTTGAATATAGGAGCTTTCTGCTGTATATCTATTATTAACAAAACATAGGTGTATTCCAAATAAGCTACTGAAAAATGTGGCTGAGTGCACATAATGACACATCTCTATCCATAATATATTTACCCTAGAACAAATTGTGCATCTGTTTATATTGAAGTTTTCTCTACCTTATAGTGTGAGGTAGGGAACTATATAGCATTTGTGTTGATAGGAATATTTCCTGCCTTGTGAACTCTAACTAAGGGGTGGTCAAACACATTCTGCCAGCTTCTAGATTTTTGAAATGGATGGATAGTTAGGAGAAACTATTGTGCAAACAAGTGTTATAGAATTTTACAGGCACTTTTGATGAAAGCCATTCAACTACATGTTCTGACCTGAAGAAGAGCTCTGTGCAGCTCGAAAGCTTGTCTCTCTCACCCACAGAAGTTGGTCCAATAAAAGATATTACCTCACCACCCACCTTGTGTGTCTAATGGAATTACATAAAATGTAACTCTACAGAAACAATAATCTTCGAGAGCTTGACTGTCTTGCGAAGTACTCAATTGCATTCTCTACCAGTTTGTTAGTGTTTTCGGTCAAATCTTGATACAATCAAAACTCATCTTTTGAAATTGCCCTTCATTATTGTAATGCATTGATATTTTTTTTAGATAAGCAAGAATGAAAACAAAAAAAATTCCTCATTACGTTCGATTACAGGCCAGGTGGTAAATAATCCTTAGCAATTCATGGATATTGCAAAACAATGCTGAGTCACACTGAGCCATACAGTAATTTTGGGTGTGTGGGGCATCCTTTACTTGCCAGTATATTCTTCTGTGAATGGTGCCCAATAGAGACCTGAGCCCTGATTCTTCACTACTTGTGTCCTATGTAGCCATTTACACCTATGCAAAGTGGGTGGTAAAACTCTACCAAATCGGGTCCCAGTTGTTATCACATGTTAGTGCTGGTTCTCTTTTCAATGGCAATGATCAGGAGCCATGTTTTTATGGTGGATTACAGTCCAGCTTCTGCTACTCATGTGCACCAGTAGGGTAGAGTCAGGCAAAGCCTCCCAGACAATTCAAGACACTATGTCACTGCCTGTGTAGGCTATCCTTTATTTCAGACCTGGTACCATGTCACCTACTCTCATGATTTTATGAGAAAGCTGTTAATACAGACTGTGGTATTTAATGTGTCTAACCTAAGTATTTGTGGAGTTCTGAATGGCATAACAGATTGGATGCTTTTTATAAAAGTTAGTAAGTACTGGTATTCCTTTCCATTGGGTGTTTATATATTGTGGCCTATTTCAGTGAGTGCTAATATGTTTCAGGAAGATGTGTGAAGCCAGATTGTGAAATCCCTACTTGTGCTTACACTAGGATTAGTCCTTTTGAACTCAGTGGGAACACTCCTGGAATAGGGTACTATGTAACTGAGTAAGTATTTCAGAATTTGGTGCTGGTGAGTACGGTGTGTGGGCAGTGACTCTGTTAGGGAGTAAAGTTTAGTAGAAATAGAACGAGTATAGATGCCTGGAAATTTTCCAGTTGAACATTTTTCCATCAGAACATGTCAGTTCATAGAAATGGAAAGATTCCATGGGAATGTGGCACATTTTGTTGAAATTTCTAATGGAGCTCAGGCAAGTTTCCATGGGAGCCTGAGAGTCCAGTAGGAGTATACATTGTTTAAAACATCCCTGCAGAAGGGAATGTTTCAGAGTGTCTGAAACAAAATAGAGCAGTATTTCACTTCCATGAAAAAATTCAAGTTTTCGTCTTTTTGTCCTGGGTCAGGATGAAATGTTTTCCAAAACCTCATTTCCCCTCCAACCCCCCCAGAAATGAAATTATTTCCTGGCCAGCTCTAATAATCAATATCACACAAAGTATAGCAAAACTTTAAAAATACTATTTTCTAATTTTTATATTAACATTGATGCACTTTTAGGGTAGTTAAAGTCACACAGCCTTTGGTTTTGTGACTTATAACACCACCTGAGGCATGCTATGATGTCTGGACCTGCACCATCTGTCATGTTTTATTGCCTTGTAAACTATAACGTGTTCATTCCACTGTGTCAGTCTTACCAGCAACTTTGTGATAACAAGAATCTTGAAAATAGGAATTTATATGAACTATTCTTATCCATATTCAATTCCATATGGATCTCTCCTGAGTTACCAGCATGTTGTCTGAATGATTTCTGTTTTTTAACAGATCTTAAAAGGAGATCTAGAAATGAAGAGACAAACAATGGGTAAGCTGAGCTCACTCATGCAGGACCTCCTGTCAGCAGTAAAGAATAAAGCAGTGGCTCAAAAGCTGGAAGGTCGGCTGGAAAACTTTGCCCAGCGTTGGGATAGGCTTGTGCAGAAGCTGGAGAGCAATTCTAAGCAGGTTTGTCATAACCGTCATTCTATCAACTGATCACAGTGAAATGCTTTGTCAGTCAAATGTCTGAAGTAGATTTGCTGCTATTTATCAGACTCTTTAAAATCTTTTCACTCTATGCCTTCTTAGTCAGGGTTTATTTTTTAGGCCAAAGTTATATCACCATAATTTATGGTATTTCCTGAAAGTCAGAACATGTAAATGATTTCAGACCAAGGAGGGAAGAGTATTCCAAATTTGAGAGGTCCTCACAGAGAATACACTGCCAGCAACAGCCCTCTCTGTTAAGCTAAGAAGGTTCAAGTCAGGTGCCCCACTGAGTTCAATCTGTGGCAGCAGCACACAAGGAGAAATATGCTTTCTAATGCAGGGTTCAAGCCACATAGAGCTTTATAAATTAAAGCCAACACCTGGAAATCCACCTGGAAACCAAAAGGTCAATGTAGATCATGGCACACTAGTATCATATACTCATAGTATCTTGATACATCATTGTGCATTCCACACGATGATTTATGAACAGATTTAAGGTAGCCCTATGTAGAACACATTGTAAAAATCAGCAATGCCACGAATCACAGTAGCAAGGTCCATATCAGAGAGAGAAACTGCAACCTCCTGTCCAAGTATAGATGTTAAAAAAAAGCCACATTATTCCCTTCTCCTCTGTGATCATTGAAAAGCAAGTGTGGATTTAACACTTTAAAACTGTGAACTCAAATGGTAAGTGGCAGAAAACACCTTCGATTGACAGGGATAACATAATTTTGCACAAGTTTTCCAGTTGTTTTCTTTGATCTACCACATCTCAGTCTTGACTGGACTGATCCTCAGCTAATTTCCTCTTATCCATCTCTTTGTCATATACCAGCACTGAGCAAGATACCTTATACCAGCAGCTAGGATGGCAGGAAGGAGATACAGAAGTGGGAGTCAGATTCCTTCAAATAATATTGTATGGCCCAAATACATATATTAATTTCCTCTTGTTTCTATACTTGTGTTGACCACATTTCTGCTGTATCTGATTAGCTTCTCTTTGCCACATGCCCTCTCATGATAGCTGTATAATACTGCTGCTTACCACCAACCCGCCCATTTCTGGTGTTGCCGTTAATAAATATCATAACTAATTAATTCAATCCATAGAGCCACTTAACAATTAACATGAATACTCCTATTCACTACAACTAAATGGAAATTTAGGCCAATCTGGTGTTACTGGAAAAATTCCTTCCCAGTCCCCCTAAAAAGGAGCTAGAGAAATGCCCACAGCAGGTCTTGACTAAATTTGGTATTTTACCACCTAAAGGGGAGGGAGGGTGGGTGCTGCCTCAGCCTGCTCCATGTAAAAGGGGGCTTCACCGCACCAGACTGCCCTTTTAAACCCTTCCACCCATTCGGTTCCCAGGAATGAATTTTTGTTGCTATGCTGGCCCTTTGTCCTCTTTTGCATCAGTTTGACCTCTCTCCCTTCCTTCCTTAAAGCACTGTTCCCTTCATTTGTCCAGCCAGCCAATTTCCCCCCAGCTTAAAGGTGTGCTGCAATCATTTTGAAAATTATTTTTAGTTTAAAAGGTGGTGGTGGTCTCCTCTTCTCTTAACCCTCCAATCCCCCCACCCCTCCTGTCTCCATGATACTGATACTTCCATGATTACAGGAATTAAAAACATGGTGGACTTAATTTAGTCATCTATTCTGTAAGATCATGAATGGATAATATCTCCCCCCCCCCCCCCAAAAAAAAAAAAATTGGGCTTGATCTTGCAAGCCTGCAACATGCGGAAGTCCAGTTTACTTCAGTGGAATTTCTGTGAGCTGAGGGCATGCAGGATCAGAAGCAATAAGAAGTAAATATTAAGAAAAGATGCATGATTTTTGTGTCATCTTCATTCAGCAACTACCACAACTGCAACTGGTAGCTGTTGATTGCTCTTAAAAGAAGGCACCCAGGATAAAATTTTCAAAAGCGCCTCTGTACCTAAATCACTTTTCAAATGGGACTCGGACTGCTGAGTCTGTAACTTTTACCCACAGTGTAATTACCGTGTGTTCACACTCATTGCAGTGCACACAAATCTAGTGCTGGGTATGATGAATTCAAGTAGCGTCTTAGTAAAATTCATTTCCCTGTTTAGCCAACAAGAAAACTACTGGTGAAAGTTTATGTTCTTAAAAAAGAAAATAGGACCATTAGCTGAAAGTTTGTAATCTGTTTAATCACAAGATGGGCGTTAGGCAGCTCAGTTAGGCTTCTCCATGTTGAAAATTAATGAGAAAGTGTGTCCTGTTGTTGACTGAAGCTTTATGCAATTACTTCAATATTGACTACAACAGAACTTTATTTCTTTGGAGAAAAAAAACTTTATGTTTATAGTGGATTAATGATGATAATTTTTATATATTTGCTACTTGCCACAGTGTGAGATGGCAAAATTAACATCGTAACAGAATAATAAATTAATTGAGGGGAAAAAACAGTTAGTTTCAAGTCAATGATGCACAGTAAGACACCCAAAAGTCAGGTGATGTGAAAGTTCAAGTTGACTGCACAACCTTACTTACAAACTTCCTCCATCTTCTGTGTATGTGTACTAATGCAGCCTAATTACAAGGTCACATAATGTTTCACAAGAGAACACAGTACAATGTAATGCATTGTTAGGGTGACCAGACAGCGAGTGTGAAAAATCGAGATGGGGGTGCAGGGTAATAGGAGCCTATATAAGAAAAAGACCCAAAAATCGGGACTGTCCCTATAAAATCGGGATATCTGGTCACCCTATGCATTGTTTTCTGTTCACATGTGAATCTAAGACAACTTGTGGTCCCCTAAAGTCTGTGAG